TTTGAAGTGGTTTTCTTCTTTGAAGATTGGAGTCGCACCAAATTCTAGTGTAGTTTATGGTCTTATAGATAATTGCTGACATTATAAATAACCATCAACGAATAGTTTCTTTTGTTGTTGTTATTTTTGTTTGATGAGATGCGTACACCGCAATATGCACAAGAAAAGATTCATGCAACGAACATGTTGCGTGTAAATTTATATTCACTCGCATTCAAAATGTGTTCAACCAAATGACATTTTTCTGACAAAAAATGTATGAATTTAAGATTTATGTCACTTCATATTGTCTTTGCCACGGACATTCATCAGCTTTTTCTTTTTCTTTTTTGAATTGTATACCATAAATAGGTAGGAAATTTTGAAGATATGCTAAAGTTAGAAATAACCTTCAACAATTGATTTTGTTCTGTTTTTTTTTCTTTATTTGATGCGATATACAGTAGGTTTTCACGTAATAATTACTCAAGCAGCAAAAAATGCACGTTAATGTTTTATTGGCTCCGGTAAGAATGTTTTAAAATACTGAAATATAGTGTCTTATTTTCCGGATTTAAAATGTTTGAATTTTAGCGAAATATCAGTTTAATCGTACAGTATGAAACATTTGCCACGGATATGCAAGCATTGTTAAACAAAATGCCAAAAAAATCCTTGCAGGCCAATCGTTCTTGGAAGTTTTTAAAACCTATTTTGTATATCTTTAAAAATTTGGCTGTCGTCAGGAATGTATCCATCTCTTGCATTTTCGAAAATTTTCTCGTCAAAATTTAAAAATTGTTTTATAACTCGGTGAATTACATCATTTTCTTGTGTACCAACTACCAAGTAGATATTTCTATGGCAAACATCAACTACGGTAGAAATAATTACAACAATAAGGACCCACTTTATAGGCATTGAACGCCCTCAGATGGCAAATTTTCGTTCCTTTATTTCTGGGATAAAATTACTTTTTTTATGCAAGTTACTTTGTGACTAGTCCTTCCAAATCATCAAAATTCTACATGAGGTGTATTCTGGGCCAGCAATTAATATCGAAGCCAATCTTCTCTCGGCGAAAGTGGGACACGGGTAATTCCTTTCAGGGATAACAAAGTGACCAAACCCTTCATCGTTGACGCTAATTGCAGAAACGGATTTTCGCACACTTCCGTGCCCGAGAACCTGCAGATGTTCGGAATGTCCGCGCGACACGGGAAATCCCTGCTTCACCAAGACCGTGGACAAGTGCGTCGGTATCCGAGTGTCGCCCGAACCCCTGTTTACGACCCCGGGAAAGTGCCGAGGAGGGTTCCTCATCCCCAGCACCAGAGGATCCCCCCGGGCAATCACTATTACCAGGGGTCCCTGGGGAAACTGGTTGCCCTGCAAGAAGCTGAGGACTCTTGCGAAAGTGTGCGGAGTTTCGCCAGCAGTGTGCGGTCGTATCCGCGGGCGCAAAGGCCATTTAGTTTGACTGATTACGAGCGAGGCATGCTGGGAGGGTATCGTCGCGAATGATTGATTTATCCTGTTTTTTGGTCTCAGCTCGTTTATTTTCTACAATATAATAACGCGCTTATTTTGCAAAAAAAAATGGACAGGAAAAAAATCGGGGAAATACCGTGTGTTCAACGTACGATCTTTGGACGTCTGATACGAAGCCCAAGAGAATGTCATCTGCACTTTCGTACTGTATATGATCACTTATCTACCTTTTTCTAGGCGAAAAATGTATAATAGAGGTTGCCATCAAGTGTGAGGCACAATTCCATTCAATTTTAATTTTTCCAGACCCTAATCTGCCGTCAATTTTTGCAAAACAATTTCGTTTTATTTTCGATGGCGTCTCACATTTGATGCCGTCTTAAATTTTCAGGTCTATACTTTCTTCTGACCAAAACAGTGATTGCAAACAATTGCGATACAATTTTTTTAAATCGTAAAATTCCAGGTCAAAGGCACAAGAGTTAAAAACTCCTAATTTACTTTTCAAGTCTTTGAGGAGGTTAAGCTGGTAATTGGAGCACGGGGATCCATGGACTCCGTTAATTATAAGAAATTAAATGCAATGAAAGGGCATTTTGAATTTCCATACTTCAGATACGTTTTCACTTTTCTTTCGCAAAATTCCCCTTAATCGATGGCGTCTTACGTTAATACCTCATAGCGCATCATTTGGAAAAATGTGAACGTCATACTTGAATTCATTTGAAATGTGAAATTCTGTATCTTGTATTCTTGTCATAGTCTTCGGAGACAGGAAGAAGAAAAAAAACGAGCTTACGTATTTCGTATTTATGATTCAATTGTGAGCCAGCATTTCAACCGTCTTTGTAAGAAGTAAGAATCGCTGAAGGAAAATGCGTCTCTCATTGTTTTCAGGTGTCAACGAATCTGAATCTAGGAAAAATGCAAGCTTAGTTTTTTTATGAGATGACGACATACAGTGCTATAAACTTGAGTTTTGCATAAAATTGGAAATTTAAACTGGATAATGTACCTTCAAAAATTTATGAAATGAACTTGTGAGTTATACCTTCATACACACTTCCACCAGTCATTCAAGAACTCTCCATGATTATAATTCAATATTTGCTACAAGTTTGATGTTATGCTGCATAAAAACAATCGTATATATTTTCTCTGCATCTGAAATACCTGAAAAAAGCAGGGGGAAATTTTTAATGGTTTATATCACCATGCTGAACTCCAGACATTGAACAGATCTGTCATGCTAACAAAATCTCATGCATGATTTTAAAATTTTAAAATGTTCCTGGATACATCCGATTCTGATGCCTTTGAGATACAACATTATTGGTTGTTTCATTGGGAATAGACTGAGTGAATTGTGCACTGAAATACTATTTTCAACTACAGTAAGGTACAGTATTGATTGATTGATCAGCAAGCTTTATTTTCCACTTTTCAGCAATCATAAGGTTCAAGCAATGTTCCCACATCCAAACCCCCTCCCCTTCCCACCACCCACATTCATCCAAACACAGCCCATTACATCAGAATGGAAAAATATCTGTCCATGAATATTAAAAGAAAATAAAATACATCCCACAATGTACAATTACACAACTGGTGTAAACGCATACACTTCCTTCCCCTCCCCAATAACAAAAAGAGAATATCAGTGATAAAAATTCCAGAAAAAGGCAATTATTGAACTCACATTAAAGCACAAGGTGTTCAGCCTGCTCCCAGATAAGTTTTGGTTGATTCGGAGAGAATCTTTGATGACAAATTGTATAGAATTAACAGTTTATCTTGGTCCTCTATGATTTTTTGGAGTCTTTGATGAGGACTATTTTCTGGTTTTGTATTGAAATTTGATGCTTCCCTATCCAAAAGCATACAAACGTAGTTCAGTTCCAAGTTTCAAGAAATACGTACGCACGCAACAGATATTTTGTATAAAAAAGACGCAAGATTTCAATGACTAGCTTTTAACGCGTAACTAATAATGCAATTAGAATAGTTTCGCACTTGAAAAAAAAATTAGTCTATACTTTTGAATATGTACATACATTTTTAGGAGATGTTTGCATCAAAAGCAAGGCGTTGGTCAGGTCGATTCGTCATGTTTCTCGCACAACAACAATACATGAAATGTCGTATTAGAACACGCGTTTTAGCTCATAAAAAATATTTTTAGAAATATGCCAAGAAAGTGCAGTATGTGAATCTCACACGATGACGTCAAACTCACCGGAACGCATGAATCTACGCTTCTCACTGAACAGCGACGCTTGTTGCTATTTATATATACAGTACAATGTATACAGTATCATTATTGCTCGCCTGGCGAAGACAGGGTCTGAACTCTGAAGACTTGGCCGGTATATATGCCTATCCGGTATATATGCCCCGTATATACAGGTACGACCAATTTCCCTCCTCTCCAGCAGCAACTTGACATCTGTTTCAATCAGTGTCAGCTTGATTGCGATTTCTTTGCGAAGCCTTCGTATGTCCTGCCAACAGCAGTACAAAAACTAACGCAGACAAAAGCCATGAGAACCAGGAGTGTTTCAACGACTTTCAACTGCCGAATATGCATACATGAGAGCAAATACATGAGAGTTTGAATGCGCATGCTTTTCGTGCAATGCTAAAAAAAAGCAGTGTGTGGGATCACCATCTCTTATTGTCGATAACCAGTAAAATTTCTTGCGGGCATTGACAAAGGACTGTTCAAAGTCTGAGATACAAGATGAGACAAAAATTTGATTCAAGCAAAGCAGAAATTAACGTGAAGGAAACTATCACTATATTTATGCAGCAAGAGGATCAACACACAGACAGTGGACCAAATATATGGCGAAATTATGCAGAGAATGGATTCAATATAAGCTTATTTTTTTGAGTTTGGATGACCTACTATTCTAGATGCCCGCCTCTTAATTGCGATATGTATGGTGAAGTTTTGCATTTTTCTTAGATCAGATTCGCGATTGTTATATAATGGGGATGAAAAGAAATGCGAGGCTTCACTTAAATGGGAAAATGAATTCCCTCGAAAATGGTGTAGAACAGTGTGCATAAATTCCCTGAAAGAATGAAAATAATGTATAGTACTGTACACTTTTACAGTATATGAGAATTAATTAATTCCAGGTAAATTTATGTTTGATGCTCGTTTCTAGCTATATAAAGTAGTTGATGATATATATTTGTCCAAATCCCGCGTGTTTTTCCGTGATTCAAAATTCGCCGTACGTCACATATTGCCAGCAGTGACAATTTACGGTGACCTGGGAAAATTTTCAGAAGTTTTACAGAATATAAATGTTGCTCGACATTTTTTCGCCATGATGGTTTCGACTAAAATCACAAGATCCTTGTTGATATTCAGGCTTCTCTCTGAAAACCTCAAAAAGCACGCACTTCCTCCACTGTGATATACTTTTTCAAGAACATTCTCATGCATAAAATACTCACGAACACTGTCAAGAGAATGAAACGGAATCAAAAGGAAGCGATTTTGAAAGAAAACCCCCAGATTAGAAATGCGACATTCGGTATATATTTCCCGTTCTCAGTTCCGTATTTCTCCAGACAAAAATGTAGTGTATAATGACTGCGCGTAAAATGCCTGTAAACGCTGATTAGTCTACATTGTGAAAGTCTGACTTTTTCAACAAATTTTCAGTGCAGCACGACATCAAAAAACGAAGCCGAGCCGACCTCGTCATTCAGCTGTAGAACACACCTTACAGATTCACTCCCCAAATCGTCACATCAAAAATTACAACAAAACGAGGCCTGCTAAATTGACACTCAAACGGATTCTAGAGTCAACAAGAACGAATTTTCAACATCGGCGAAGCATTTTCAACGAAAATCGATCCCAACGGAAAAGAAACATGTTCCACCAGCATTTCATAAAATAATCGACCGCTAACTTCAAGTTTCAATTCGGTAACACAGGCAGTGCTGGAACATTCCAGCAAAAATCTTTGGATTTCTCAAACGCATACAACAAAAAATCATGACTGCCGTTCTGGGAGAGTCGATTGTTTGTCCAGAGAAAAAAAACCTACGAAAAAATTCGTTTCTGTAGAAAATAGTGAAGTTCTTGCAAAATCGGAGATCACGAATTAATTCTTCTAACGGGTCAAGCGGAAAACAGATCCGGGGACAAAAAAAAAAATCCGCGCAAATAACTATACGCGCAAAAAATACTTTCCATTCTCACGGAGTCGGCATACCTAACTAAAAAATGTCTTCTGTCAATGCATCGACAATTTGATCGTTAAGAACACATTTCATCTGTTCAGTCTCTGAATCCCATCAAGAAACGATGAGGAATTCGAAGCTTTCCTCTCCGTCGGAAACGAAAACGCCACCCTGAATATTTCAAAAGCCGCCGAAGATCCCACATCAAGATAAACTATCGCACTCAAGTGCGAAAAAAAATTCTCAGCAATAAACGCTGAAACATAGAGAGCATCGTCGACATAAGAAGAACACTTAGGAGCCCCGAATACGAGAAGAGCCGGTGAATGGCCGAGATTCTTCAAGATATGTGACGACGACGCCAACATTGATCATCATTTTTTTTGTGCAGCACTCAGTGACCACTCAAGCCATTCCAGATTCTTCCACATAGAAAAATAACCCGACAGAAATGAAGACAAACTGGCCACTCGCAGCACGTAGCTTACAAAATCCCTCCCATTCTCCTCACACTGCGTCCAAAAGTTGTGCGCACAATTGCCTGCATCATGGTTCACTTCTAAAAAATGTTTCGATCGAGGAAACAGAAATAAAAATCGAACTAAAAACTCGTTCCGCGGAACACTAGAATTCAAATCACAGTCTGAGCGTTTTCGAGAGCATACAAAAACTCAAGGTACAGCTAGCTGCCAACGTGGTACTCGAGGTTCCACGCCACTCGATGTTGACTTTTGAGCTCCAAAAGATGAAAAAAAAAAAAAAAAAAATCGCAGACAAAAAATTCCGCGCGAAGAAATTTTCTGAAAGACTACACTGCTGAAGGAAATGAATTGTTTCGCCCAATGGTGCAAAAACCACAACGAAAATCACATCAGCGTGACTAAAAAAAAGGAGGGGGAAGTACCAAAAGTCACACACGAACAACATTCGCAAAATTTATGCTCACGGTTTGCTCCCAAATCGCCGCCCACATGCCGTTACACTCAAGCTCCAGTTTAAACACTTGCTACACACATTCACGAATGGAAAGCGACTATACTAAAGACTGTAACTCGACTACCTAAACATTCCATTCGCTGTTCATCTAAAATTCCGGAAGATCGAAGGCTACATCTTTCCTAAACGCTCTTGACTCATTACAATACCCCCAAGCATCAGCCACCGCAAGAGAACCCAGAAGTTCGACGCTGATTTGATTTAGCCACGACTAGAAAACACTAGAAAAACCAAATCTCGGACTGATGGAACGGCGTGCTTCATACAGCAGAAAATCAGGTTCACTCAGAACCTGCATCTTTTTCCTCTTTAGTTTTTAAGCCACAAATTTCGATGATGCACATCGAATTCCTTCACGCGCTGCTTGCTGAATTCGGTTCAGTGGTTCAATAAACAAGAGAACATCTCATTTCTGGTAAGGCTACCTAGCAATTACAAATCCGCATATGATCACTGCAGCGTGAAGACCGTACTCAAATTTATATCTCAAGATGACGATCAGTTCAACGATGGAAAATCGTTCCGAAAATGTCAACCACAATTAATTCGCGTAATTTGAACGGGGAAATACGTCGTGATACCATTAAATAAACAAAAAAACCACTAAACCGAATTCGTCTGCAAACTAGCAAACCTAAACCACTGCAAACGTTGTTTACAAGACAAGCTTTGAAAGTTGCTTCCCCTCGATGAGATCCGACATCATAATTCGGTCCGCGGAGGCCCTCCCCTCATACTTCAAATTTTCACAGATACATTTTCCGCAGACTCGCTCGGCCGTCGGCGCCTTCCAACTCCGCGTTGAGGTTCCTCGGCCTACGCCCAGTCTGGCGGCCACTCATGGCCACGGCGCTGCTGCTGTAAGGTGAACACGCAGGGTGCTCGTCCTGGCAAAACACGACATGAGATTTAGAACGTCTCGATACTCTTCAAAATTTGACACTTACAAAAATTACACCGAAAAAGTTATTTCTTTTGAACTACAGTTGAACCTCGATAACTCCAACCTCTACGTCAAATTTTTTGGACCCCCGAAGAATGCTCGTTTCCCAAACTCGAATTTTTGCTGGTCCTTTGAAGTTCGACTTGAAGAGCTTCGACTCTACAATTTTTTTACCCTTAGCTTTCGAGGAATACTGTAACATTGAGGGTGGAAAACTTCGACTAGCCCATTTGTAATGGGGATGTTACAAGAAATGCCGCACTTCTGGGAATAAATAGCGTCCAAATAATCAGAGGAGTGTCATTCAGAGGAAAATAACTGAATAAAAGTTCACTCAATTTTCGTTTGAACCTTTTGAAACGCAGTACTGTACATGGCTCTCAAAAGTTCGATTAATAAGATCAAGACAAGGGATACAAATAATTAAAAATGTAAATATGTACACGGGACTTCCAAATAAAGTACACTTAAACCGAAGCACAAGAAATTAGTCAGAAGAAAATTGAAGTCGCTTAAATTGTCACTATTTTCGATGCTATGTTTTTTCCTTGAACCGTTTGAAAATCGGTTCATCGTCCTTTGTTTCACACAGTACTGTATTTTGTGAATGATTTGTTTGACGACTCTAAAAATAAAGACTGACCTGCATGGCAGCGACACGCGCATGCGACGGAGTAGAGCTACTCGCAGAGGCAACGAGGTCGACGTAGGGCAAAGTTGGGGCGGCGTAGTGGCAGCTACTGGCGCCACCTGCACCCACGCCACACATGCCGCCCTCGTCGCAGGTCAACGCCGCCGGGGACCTCTGCGAATAATACGTGTGTTCGATAGTGCCAGCCGGCAACCCCGTCCCACTGCACACCACGTGCGACATCAGAAGACTCTTTGCATCAGGAGATGCACCATACGGGCACTGGGCAACCAACCTGTGCATAGATTGAGTTTTTCCTCGATTAGTTCTCGAAGAAAATTAATTGAAGAGCAGTGCTGAGATTCAATACCCGTATTTCACATCGGCAAGGACCGCACGGTTGAACGGTATACCGTACACAAGACTGTAAAATTATTTTTTAAACCTGGCTTTACAACTACAGTATTTTGCGAATAGAACCATTCTGAGAACTCTTTTAGGTCGCTGTTCACATCCCACCTATGCAGAGACAGACCGGGCTTCAAGTCCATTTACAATCAAGTCCAAAACTATGGTACATTAGTGCATTTATAAGGATTAAACAAGCTGGGGGTGCCCAGCCACACCTGGGCATTGGACACATTTCAGTTTTGAAAACTTGGATGTACTACAGAATTTAATATGTGGAAGAGGGGGTGCCCATATGCAACTGTTTATCATGTTACAAA